TTTCTGATAAATAATTCATCGAGTCCCTGTCGCTTCCTGGGCTGTTGGAAATAAATGTCAGGGAGATTGACTGTCAGGGCCTGGCAATGTTAGTGTTCAGGAGTTCTGTAAATTCTCCAGTTGGTTTGACTAGAGATTGAGCTGCAAAGTGAGAGGCTGCCTGGAAAGCTGGCTTCATCTGCGGTCTTAGGCATAAGAAGCTTGTGTGCCCCTAATTCTATAATGGCTTACTTGGTGTATGAGATATTTTAACATGAAGAAATCAAGGAAAACGTGCTGTAATGAATAAGAATGGACACACATCAAGGAATCACAGGCTCCAACAGTGGGCTGGCCAGGAAGGGACGAGTTTCTTCAATGAGAGTCCATGTCAAGATACTAAGGACTCGCCATCGTGATAAACAGCTGCCTTTATCGGTCACCTAAGTGTCACATGCTCAACATTTTATGGTGGATTGCTTTTATTAATAGGGACTCTACAAAATAAACTCACTTTGTGCCTGTTTTTCATGTTAGACACTGAGGCTTGCGGTAGGGGGGGATTTGAACCCAGGTCGGCCTAACCCAGCCAGTGTTCTCAGCACCCCACATATTGGCTCCATCTGCATGTCTGGAATCTACCTGAGGGCTACATGACTCAGCGGAAAGATCTGGGAGTAAGGAAACCCATTCCCAGCTCCGCGGGCGCGACAGCTACTTCTGGAAAACGTGCCAAGTCCCTGAACCTTTGGAAACCTCATTTCTTTTCTTATTGTGAAAATTGCATTTGCTACATCTATCTCGTAAGGTTTTTATGAGGATAAAATGAGATAATCGCTGGGAAAGTGCTTCCTTGAGTGATGTATAAATGAAGGGCTTACGTTATTAGATTTTTGGTAATATTGGGCTCTTTTTCATAATGCTCACATTGTCTTTTGATTGAATGTGAAAACCTTTAGCTGACTCTCTTTGTCTCTCACTAGCTCTTGGCCCTGGATCTGCGAGGACGGTTCTCTGACTATGGGAAGTTGTCCCCCAACTATGGATTTGGGACAGAGTTGACATGCACTTGGCTCATGTTGGAATCTTGGGACATAGGTTATGACTTGTGTTCTAAATGCTTCTTTTCCTATTGTTAAAAAAAATTGAAGATAATTTAGGTGCTACAAACAAGCTTTATTTAATACTTCACAAAGTAGATAGTCTCCATTCAGACAACTCCAAAAGGGAGAAGGCAGGAAGCTTTAGCAGGATGAAGAATAAGATCAAGAGTAGCACACGGGAAGCGGCGTGGGTGAGCTGGCACACCACGTGTGTGCCTCACACTGTGAACGCGAGATGAGCTGGGACTAAGGCGGAGCTGCTTCATAGCTGGGCTGACCTGCTGGAGAAGCAGCTGAGATCTGAACTGGGTCTGAACCACTAGCATTTGAGTTGGGCTTGAGGTCTGATTGGGGGTGCAGGAGGAAGTCAGATACGGGAATAGTACAGATAAGTAAAACGAGACAGGGTTATCTGTGCATGTTTAGGGAGGTCTAGACCATTGCACTGAGCATGAGGGGGGAGGCACCATGTGTATGTGTGTACATGTGTATGTGTGTGTACATGCATGTGCATGCAAGTTTGAACCATGCAGTGAAGAGCCTGGAAAACCGAGTCTGAGAATTATGTGGCTAAGTCATCAAGAGCTATGGGAGGTTCTAGAACGAGGGAATGGTAGTGAGACAAGGGACTGGGGTGGAGAAAGATTGGAGAAGGCTGGATCCCAGAGATTGTGTGCAGGTGGCAAAGGTGCCATCAGAACAGAGCAGGGATTTATGGGGCAGATGTCTTTAGGACAAAGTCCACAGAGTTCAGGGACAGACTGAATAAGGGAATTCAGGGAGGAGGCAGAACTGGAGGTAACGCCATTGCCATGTTTTGATTGAGAGGTGACAACATGTTCCTTGCCCGTTTCCAAGAGCCTCGGCTCTTCTAAGCAACGCGGATCGTTGACAGCAGCAACTTGTTTTCGGCGCCGAAGCTATTCCGAGTTCATTTATGAATATTTCATTTTTAGCTCGCTAATTGGGCTTGAGGATCTGAATTATGGATGGAGGGAGATGTAGGAATAGTTTTGTCACTGTTGTGTGAGAGGCTTTCCACAGCTTTCAGGGCCGATCTGGCATTTCTTTCTTGACAGCCAGATCACACACGGCCCGTCAGTTAAATTCACCGGGGTTTATCAAGTGCCTGCCGAGCAGGGGCAGGGTAGGCGTGGGGGCGGTAAGAAGCAGCCAGGACTAGACTGCCTTCGGGGAGTCCCCGGTCTGTGGGAAGAGACACACAGATGACTCTCGGTCGGGCCGACGGCGCTGTGCCCCTACTATGTGATGAGCACAGATCTCGCGCGCCGTGGGCACTGTGGTCGCCTCCCCACACCTGGCACGTGCCTGTCTGTGGAGGAAACGCTGGGTGCCTTGCTGCAGTGAGCTTGCCAGACTAAGGCCAAGTGCACGGTGCTCCGCAAGTCTGCTTTGTCTGCCCAAGACTGCTGGCACCAGCCACAACTTGGGGTCCCCAGAGCCACCCTCACTTCTGACCGGCTAGATACAAATTCGGGGGTCCCCACAGAGTCCCTCAGGTTCTATCATTTGCTAGAAAAACTCACAGGACTCAGAAAAGCTCTATGCTTACAATGACAGGTTTACTTTACCAAAAGGGTACACATTAGAACCAGCCAAAGTTCTAATTCTGGGCAAAGTCTTGGGACTAGGAGGGTTCCAGATGGAGCTCCTGGTCATCCCCCCGCCCCCGAGGAGGGAGTCCTGGATGCCGTTACCTCCTGCCACTATATATGGCACAATTCATGAGCAGTTCCAACCAGGGATGCTCACTGAACCTTTGGTGTCCAAGGTTTTAATGGGGGCTCGATGACATACTGCCCACATAGCTGGCCTTCAGTCTCCATCCTCATGGATGTTCAGACCAATATCTTTATTCCCCAGAGGTTGGAGCCCATGTGACGTGTTCCCATCATAAGTCATATCATTAGACTGTCCGGTGACCAAAGTCCCCAGGCAGACAGACACTCCCCTCAGTCAGGACATTCCTGGGGCCTAGGGTTCAACCCCAGTAGCCGAGGGCAGAGGCCAGGCCGCTCATCGGGGCAAGTTTCTTCTCATCGAGCATTTCGGAGGAGGAGCTGTGTCCGCCCGGTCCCGATGCAGAGTCTGTCATTGGGTTGGGCCTGCCACAGACTCCCATACGCTCTTCTGCAACACGTTTCTGCAGCTCAGGTGACGTGACAGGAGGTGCGTGTTTTATAGCCTCTCCGATTCTGCTTCTCTCTTAATTGCTACTTCAGTAGGTTGCACAAATCCATGCCGTCGTAAAGAATAATGAGACAGTTTTGATGACTGACGTAAACGGCTGTCCCTCCTTTGCCCCTTCCTTTCCTTACCCACCCCCTCCAACCTCCAGGCCTCCTGTCGGCACAGCTTTGTTCTGGCGAAATCCGAAATCCGATGCAGACTGAGGGATGGAGGGTCTTGAGCCCTGGTTCCTTTTATCGGTCCCTCCATTGGCCTTTCCTCCCCTGCTCTCTGCCCGCCCTCCCATCCCCACGCGCTTTCCCAGCAGAGGTGGAGGGAAGGCAGTACCTGTGCTGGCTGCCCTGGCTGAGGAAAGCTGGCGAGGATCTCTCTCTCGGTCAAGGTTGGCCCACCGTTGGCACCGCCGCTCAGCAGAAGCCCTGCTCCTGTCAGGGCCTCCCATCTCAGCCACTCTCCCATCTCATGCCCAGACTCCCTGAGTTCTTGGGGACCCTTCCAGACCCTGCCCCTTTGTCCAGAGCCCACACTGTCACATTGCTCTTCACCTGCAGACTCTGTTCCAGAACCGCCCTGTGGCCTCCCTGTCTGATTTGGGAGCAAAAGTGACCTACTGTGGCGGCTGTGTGCAGTGTGGCAGATGCTTCCCTGTGCAGAGCTGTAGCCTTAGAGAGGGCAGGGAGGGACCGTGAAGACACTCTGCAGATGACCATCCCCCAAGATGGTGCTAGAGCCTAAGCCCTCCTCCTCTACCCTGATGTTCAGACTCAGAGAGGACTGCTGAAACGCCATGCGTCAGCCAGGCAGATGACAGACCTCTAACGATGGGGTGTCAGCCGGGTGCTGCTGGCTTCCTGCCTGCACCTCTCAAATCATATCATCTAAGGCCACACCCCTGCACCTTCACACAGCAGCACGAAGCTCCCTGACCCCGCTCACCCCTCTAATCCCCACCTTCATCCGGAGACGAATGCCTTAAAAGTGAATGCTAATTAATAATAAATACAAGTTGTAAAATGATTTGAAACTTGCTCTAAAGCAGCTCAGATCATGGCGTTTTAAAATCACTAGTTCTCCAGGAAACTTGAAAAATGTTGTTATTGTCTTTAGTCCTATAATTTGTGGTTTTAGACTGTAATTATTTTTTTCTGTTTTTCATCAGAACAATTTGGCAATAATACTCATGATGCCTTGCAATAATCTGAGTAGTTGTGTAACTCATTAAGAGCATGAAAAGCTAAGCAGCCTTCGAGAACCCTTTGCAAAGAAGCCCTTAAGCAGTTGCAGAGAACTGGATTTAAATGGAGATGGTGGTTCACAAGGAGCCTGGTTTGTGAACCGGAGGCTAGTGGGCCCCACTTTACAGAAGCAGCTCATGAAAAGGTTCTGATAAAATGATTTCCTAAGTCACGCTTTATAAACTTGATTATTTGTTAGCATATAGATGCAATGATATTACCACTAACGGTACTGTTTGCAGCTGCTCGGTTCTAGAACTGCCTCAGGCCTTTCAGTCTTTTGTTTTGTTTTGTTTTTGTTCTTTGTTTTTCTTTTTTTTCTCTTTTTTACTTTATTTAATTTTAATTTTTTTTCAGACCTTTCGTTCTTAATAAAGCGTGACCCTGAGCGTATTCCCACACCTGGAAGGTAAGTACCTGCCCTCAGCGCCGCCTCCTGTGACAACCGCGTGCTCTCTTGTTTCCCCTGCAGAGCTGTCCCTCATGAAGAGGAGGAGAGGCCGGCCTAAGGGATCCACCAAGAAGCCCGGCGCTGAAGAGGAGCTGGCGGAGAGCCTCGTGAGCCCGAGCGAGGACAGCGCGCTGGCCCTGGGGGACGGGGGTGGCCTGGCCCCACGCAGCCTGGAGTGCCCCAAGTGCTGCCGGAAGTTTTCCAACATGCGGCAGCTGCGCAAGCACATCTGCATCATCGTGCTGGACCTGGGCGAGGACGAGGGAGCCGCAGGTAAGCGCCGGCCGGGCTGCACCCGTCAGTTTCTGAAAGAGATCTGGCCACACAGATCAGCTTTTACTGGTTCCCTTGTTACTCAGAAGTAGCGCATATTTACATGAGCCTCCCCTGTCTGGGAAAGTGCCGATTTCTGTAATGACCGTGGGCTATTGCTGGGAGTATGTCATCTGGTAGTTGGCGCACAGAGAGCCCAAGTCATGGGGGGGTTTTTGGAGATGACTTGGGGTGGCCGAGAGGGTAAACACAGCCTCTACCCTTCAGGAAGTAAGACAGTTGTGTATATATTTGATCAATAAATGTGGGCAAAGGAATTATCTTTTTTTTTTAAAGATTTTTATTGGGGAACAGGGGAGATGGGAACAGTGCTGGGGAATTGGGGAAGGGGAACAGACAAGTTGCTGTCCTTTTGTTCTTCAGTCTAGTTGTGGAGGACGTTGCTTCACTGGCCCAAGTTGGCACCATCATTGCGCTCTTCCCGGGCGAGGCAGATCAGTCACCGGCATCTGGACGACCGCTCACTGCGGCTGCTGGCCGCTCACGCTGGCTGCTGGTTACACACGGTAGCCCATGGCAACCCACTACCACAGGGGCTGCAGCCTATGCCGTCGCCGGCGACTCACGGCAGCCCAGCTCCAGGTTGAGCTGTTGTTCAGCATCTTAGCTGTGGAGGGCAGTGTTACTGGCCCTCATATGTGGGATCCGAACTGGGGCTCTCTGGCGTCCCAAGCCAGCTCTTAACCACGGCGCCACCCGGCCGGCCCCACAGGGGTTATCTTAACACATGCAGTTGGGTACATAAAGTATTTCAATCATGGGGTCCACAGAGAAAATAATAAGAGCTTGGTTGAAAATCTGAGAAATCCTTTCAAAAGTAAACACTTTGTGCTTTGAAAATAATGATGGCTTCACAGGAAGTTGCGACGATCCTCTGGAGAGGTCCCGGGTACACGTCCCCCCCGGTTTCCCCCAGTGGCTACGTCTTATGTGTCATTACGCCTTGTGTTTGATATAGCACAGCATCAAACCAGGACGTCAGCAGGGAGGGAACGTGTGTGTAGGCCCGTCGTTTATCACACGTGTAGAACCGCATGGCCCCCGCCGCAGCCAGGAGACAGAACTGCTCCGTCACCACAAACATCTCCCTCGTGCTCCTGCGTCATAGTCACCCCACCCCTGACCCCCACAACCGCTGATCTGTTCCCCAGCTCTGTAATTTTGCCATTTCAAGAATGTTACATCAACTGAATCCCACAGTATGTGGCCTTTTAAGATTGGCTTAGAAAGCCTTGTTTTCAGACCCAATTTCATAATCTTATAATTGAGGCAGTTGAGTTTCTGAGTGATGATATCCAGACTCACACTCACTGGAAGTGGGGTAGTGGCACCATCACACATCTGCTGCCCTACCCTGCGGGCAGCCCACTCTGCCCCATTCCTACCCTGTGGATGTAGATTGTATGCGTTTTAGTGTCCCTCTCACAGCCTTGCCTCTAACCTTACAAGAAACGAAAGTTCCATTCTGCGTGGTTCCCAGGTTTACTTCTACTCTGTAATCAATTAGGCCGTGTCTTTAGCAATGGCAGGCAGGCATGGTCCTTTCCGACAAGATCAGCTTCCTCCAGTAATAAGCTGTATAGAAAATGGCCTTGTGTGCTATCGATTTCAGTGCCTAAATGGACTTGAATAAATACCAAATGCCAAGGTAGAAGCTCCGGGTGTTTTTCCCTTTCTGGCCACGGCTGAAGCCTCTAAAATATGCGGAAATGACCTTATGCCCAGCTGCCTTGGGGCTGACACTCATGTGATGGCTCCACGTTTCTTAGCTTGCCAAGCACAATATTACACTTTGGAAAAGTCTCGCATAACTGTTTTAATACAAGCTCTGCAAAGAGCAGCGTAGTGACATTTCAAACGATTGACCTTGACTCTTTAGCTTATTAAAACAATTAGAGGAAAACAAAATAAACTCTCTGCACTGAACCATGACAAGTTAAAATAGCACTTTTGATATGTATTCAACATTTATTTATTTTATTCTGCATTTGAATGGTAAAAGAAACCAGGAAAACAGATTTTTTTTTTAATGCCATGATGTGCAACAGCTGGTGTTTTTGGAAAACATTTTGCAGCCTACAGAAATCAATATGTCAAGTTTATAAAAGTGATTGACTCCTGAACCTTTCTAATCTTGTTATTTCTGGGGTCATTTTATGCAAGGGGAGTTGCAAAAAGGTGCTGTTATTCGTGTTAAATCCTTCCTAAAGAAGACATTTATTTTAAGATTTTACCTAAGATGCACTTATAATCTTCATGAAGATTCTTTACAACAGTATTTCGAGTGTCTTCTACTATATTGATGTTAGCAAAACAGCTGACTTGATAATAGCTGCTATGATTGAAAACTGTCTTGAGTGAGGCGTGTTTGAAATTTGCAGGTGGAAAGGCAGTGCCATGTCAGTCTCTGAATATAATACTTTTCTCTGTGGAAAGAGCTGTAATGGTGATGCCTGCTTCCCTCCGCAGCCTTGTAAACCCTCCTTTTATCTTTGCACTGATGAGATGAATGGAAACCTGGAGGACATCTAGCTCAGTGGTCTGCGCTGTGCTCCACCGTCGGCAAGCATGTGGGGACTTCTTCCTGGGTAGTTAGAGTCCCTTCCCGTGGCCCCTCTCTCCCCACCATCCTCCTACCTCTGCTGCTGCCCCTGCCTCTCACGTGACTGTCGCTGTCCGTGAGGGCCAGGTTACGCCCTTATAACAAACCTCCCCCGGATTTCAGTGGTCCAACACAACCAAGCTTCCTTTCTTGTTCCTGCTGCACGTACATTGCTCTGCTCACTCAGGGACCCAGATGGAGAGAGCAGCTGCCGTCCGGAGCAGACCTGGTCACCGTGCAAGAGGGGCGGAGAGCCCTGGGTGGTTTCATCTTGACCCAGGGTGACATCTGTCATTTCTGCCCATGAGGTCGTTGAGCAGAACTGATGCTGTGGCCCCACCAGACTTCATGGGGCCAGCAAGTGCCTAGGGCAGGCGAGAGCTGGAAATGTCTGATGTCTGTCCTAGTGACGACTTCATGACCATGGGTTCACCCACCAGCTATGTTCTGGTGACCTACAGGTCTCGAGCCTGCATTGCAGTTGGAGTGGTCCACAGGCAGCTGAAGCCGGGTGGCATGTTTAGTATGGAACTCATTCTCCAGCTCCTTGTCAGTGGCCCTCCCGTATTCCATCCTGGTGACTGGCCCCACTGTCCAGATGTCTCAGCTAGAAAGCTCTCCCACAAAGCAGGCCTTTTTGCCAGGACTTTTGAAGGAAGACTTTCTTGTTCAGTGTCTTGGAGGCCAGCCTGGGGCTGCGCTGCTGTCAGTGAGGACGTGGTGCAAGCCCGCTTGACGGGTGCCAGGAGGCAAAGGGGGCGGCCCCGCTGAATTCTGCTGTCTGAAGTTCAGTGGGCTGCTTGCTGTGTCCTGTGTGGAGGGACTTCATGGCACATGACAGAGCCTGTGACACAGGAGGCTTTTAAGTAATGGTTCCTCCCAAGACAAGTAGCTGCTGCATGTTATGAGAAAAGCAGTGCTTTCCTCACCGTGACAACCCCGATTGCTGAGAAGCGCAGGGATGGATGGCGGTGGCCTGTGACCCAGCAGCCTTTAAAGCCAGACGTACTGCTGCGCCTGCGGCTGCCATGCTGCCGCGGAGGCTGGCTAAGCAGAGGGCTGCGCGGGACCCTGCGGCCTCCCGTTCTCGTCTTCCCCTCTTCCTCCTCCTTGCTGAGCTTGCGCCGCTGTGGGCACCAAGCTGGACTTGGGGGATCAACGTTAAGAAAGGCGAGTCGCTTCCCTTGAGCAGCTGAGTGTCTTCAGAGAAGGACGGAGAAGTGACTAGGGCACAGTAGATGGCAGAGGGACCAGCAGATGCAGAAGGGGTAGGGCAGGACCGCAGGCCTGTGGGGTGCATCCTGGAGGGCTTCCCGAGGAGGGGACCCTGCAGTAACTGTCTCTAAGGACACTGGCCTTGTGGGGAGGAGATGGGATAGGTGTTTCCCTCGGGGTAGGTAGTTCATGCGAAAGCCTGCAGGTGCTGGAGTACAGGTGCCTGGGAGGAATGCTGTGTAGTTCGCTGCAGTTAGTATGTAGCGAGAGCAGGGATCACGTGGAAGACAAAGGCCTCCTGCCCCTCATCTGCTTATTTTCATAGGTGTCTCTCTGTGGGGACACTGCTGGGAGCAGGTGCTCACCTGGCCTCCCCTCAGAGTGAGGGAGACAAGAAGATGTGAGGAAGCAGAGCTGAGCGAGCCGTGCGTACTCAGCAGGTTAGAGAGAATTATTGTGGGTCAATACGTTTCCTAAACTGCGGTATTAGCAGCATGGGTGGAATTGGTGGAGAGCCCCAGAATAGAACCTCTTATCAGTGTGCTGTTCTGACAACTGCTCTGGGCTTTATATTAATGTGGCTGATAACACTCGACTCTCTGGGGCGTTCTGAGATTTAATTAGTTCTCGGGCAATTTGGAATAGGAACTTTAGAATATCAGTGCAGTGTTAATTATGGATGAATGCATATGAACAAATTTCTACACGTGTATGATTGCATGTGCAGTTAACTCTTCATCTGCCCGTTACTACTCAGCTGACCTTGTTTAAATGCTACGATGTGTAAGGACCCTGAAGTCCTGTGGGAAACTCAAGGGTGAAACACAGACACAGACCCTGCCTGCTACGCGTGTGGAGTTGGGCGGTGGGGCGACACCCCTACCCAAGGAACTCCTCTAGGACAGGAGGGGGTGGTGAGAAAAGAGCAGAGAGAATTTGAGGTGAAAGGATCTGGTTTGAGGGATTTTGTATCAGATGGCCTTTGTTTTTCTTTGCAAGGTCAGAGAAGTACATCAGAGCTAATGGCGTGTGGACCAGTGTGATGTGCATGCACAAGTGTGACGCACACATGTCAGTTAGGGACTGAGGAAAACGCGAATGGTTTTGAGACTTGCTGTTGATCATTCATGGAATGATCACAAGTATTGAGCACCTACTGTTTGTATACCAGGCAGGTGGTGGTTGCTGCCCAAGTGAGGTGCAGGGAACAGAGGTCTGCAGTAGAGATGCTCAGAGTTCAGCGGGCCGGGCAGACAGTGGCACCAAGGCTTTGGGTTAAGCGTGATGAGCATCTGTAGAGGTGACCAGGGAGCTCAGAGAAGGTGCTGCCATAGCAGCCTGGGAGAGCAGGGTGGCAGTCAGGGAGGGCTTGGGCCGAGGTTTGAAGGCCACTGGGCCTCATATTCTGAAGGGTGGGTAGAAGTGGAGGTGTGGGCACGGAGGAGAGGGGGAGAGGTGGGGAATGCCAGCACTGGCAGAGGCAGCAGCATCTGGTAAGGTCACCTGTGGTCAGTGGAAGGTGGCTTAGGGGGCCGGTGCAGTGGCCCGATGAGGCCTGCAGTATCTGAACTCAGCGGTGGCAGTGCGGGTGGAAAGAAGGGGACATATTCTAGAGCCGTTGAGGAAGTGTGACCCCCAGGACCTGGGCAGAGGTTGGAGTGGGTGGGAAGCAAGAAAGAGCCAGTAGGGGGCTGCCTGGGCTCTGGCTTGGGTGCTGGGGTGGAGGACGGCCTCGCCGATCTCAAGAAGCCCAGGGAGGAGCAGCCTTAAGGCCAAGAAGACGAGAAAGCCCTGGTTACGCGTTGAGTTTATGGACTGGGGGTGTCCAAGGGGGTGTCATGCACCTGGATGTGGAGCCGGCAGGAGGGCTGGGCTGGAGCCCTAGCCTTGGGGACCTCAGCGGATAGTTCATGATGGCTAGAGCAGCGTTCTCGCTGAGACTGGGTGGGGTGGGAGGCAGGACACTTACCAGGAGCTATTGTGATGTTAGGGTGAGAGCTGAGTTCTCTCTGGTTTTCTCTTCTCCTCTAGGTCAGCTCAGGTTGTTTTATCGGTGTTTAATCTTCCAAACTTTCATCCACTCCGGTTCACAGTCCTCATGCAGCCAGTTCTGCAGTGTGTGCTTAACTGACGATACCTATGGCTGAGTGTAGATACAGCCCCTCCCGTGCGGAGTGTGGGAGAAACGTGCTGTGATCCCTCCAGCTTCTTATCCATGCAAGCTGACATTGTGTGTGTGTTTTGTCGATTCATGCTGTTAACCCAGGGTCAGTTTATGGCAAGCCCTAATTCCCGGCTCTTCTTTTTATGTGAACGTATCTCCTGCCATGTCACCCACATATTGAACTGGATCCCGTGGCAGATTCTCTTATAAAATGAAGCATTATTTAAAAAGCAAAAGAAATCCCACAATACCTTCTTTCTGCCTCTTTATAGCATCCATTTTATTCTGCTGTAGTTATTTATGTACGTGCGTCTAACCCACTATGTCGGCCACACCAAGAGCTTCTGTGACTCAGGCAATTTGTAGACCTTTTGAAATGTTTTTTATTATAGCCACAAAGCAATAAAATAAAATGAAATGAAAACTGCCACCAGGCATGATGCAAATCGAACATCACAGGAAGTAGGCAGCGCTGACAGCAGCTCCGCAGGTCACTGGCCCTGTTCTTTAGCTTTCGAGGCGCCACCATGTGCTTCATGGGATGGGCAGAATGTAATGGTCCTTGACATTTTCCCTTTGACTACAGAGACTGATGTACATTCTGTCTGATTCATGATCTCATCCGCTAATACCTCTTTTCAGTTCAATATTAACATGTTTAGCGTTGACGCTAACTATATGACTACGGACCTTTCCAGTCAGTTCATAAAAAATCCATAAGACCGTTTCCACCAGGTCTAAAAATGTCCCAAGCACCTGGATTGTGGAGAAATGAAAGGACTTCCATTTGCAGAACATGGAACACGGGGGTGTGTGTTGCTCAGCCTGCGTTAGCCAGGTTCTCCCCGTGCCTCCTCTGGAGAGAGCTCTCCTTCAGCCAGCTCACCTTCCCGGGAAAGTGTGCTTCTCCCGTCGTCTGCCCCCTTCGGGCGTTGGTTAGTACGTTGACGTGCGGGTCTGGCTGCAGGCAGATCGGGATTGGGAAGCACGGAGGGACCCAGCTACCCCAGGCTGCCCCCTTTGGCTTCTCCCATTTCTTCGGCTTCTGCCTGATTACTGTGTGGTTCTGACTTCAACTCCCTGTCAGTTCTAGTGCTTTCCAAGCCCCCCACTAGCCACCTATCTGTGTGCCTGTCTGCAGCCATCCACCCACTCCGCACACATCTCTCATAAAGGGCTTCCTGGAATGGGTCCTGTCTACTCGTCATGTAGTTCCGAAGAAGTGATTCTTGGGCAGGTTACGTCAGGGTTGTGGCGGTGATTGTAAGGAAGAGCTCTCTATTTGCTTCTCGCTTAGGAATCGAATAGCGTGCATCCGAGAGCCCTGGCTCCTTTAGTCCTCACTTGATATCAAAGCATTGCTGACTCCTGAGGCTAATGCCAAGTTCAGCCGTGTGAAGTTAGCTGTTGTCCTGTGGCTGACCTAGCCATTCTTCAGTGTGTTTGTGTGCCCTTTGAACCCATTCAGTTCATTCTGCCCAGTGGTGGTACAGACTCAAAGCACAAATTTAGTCCTGCCTTTCCCTACTCCCAATGCTTTCAGGGGCTCACCATTGCCTTCTGGAGTAGCAGGGGACAGGCGGGTCACATGTGGCTTCACACGTGTTTTGCTTGGCTCCCCAGTTTTAAGAAATTTTAGGTTAGAGTCAACCCTGAAAACCCAGATTCATGTAAAAATCTGTATTTCCAGCCTCCCTTTGAATACTCAGAATATTTGGTGACTGTCCCATGAGCCAGCAGGGCAGCTCTGGCTGGAGCTGGGGCCTGTGCTGTCACCTGAGCCCCACACAACCAGTGTCATTGATTCGTGCTACCTGATGGGTCTCTGTGAGCCCTGGGGTCTCACCCCTGGCGCTCACCAAACAAGATCTGAGGAAGATTCCAGACTTCACATGGCATCCAGGCCCTCTAGGCCCTAGCTTTTATTGCTGTTTCCCTGTTTCTTCGTGAAGTCAGCCACACAGGGGGCTTGGCTGACGTGTGCTCCTTGTCTCTGCTGTCCCTTCTGCTAATGGAGCACCACCATTTTACCACCCCCACCCCTCTGCCCCATGCGTCTTTGGCATTGCCTGGTCCCCACAGCCCCCAACCACAGTGTCACAAAGGCCTGTTTTTTATATTTAACAGAAGGGTTGCCTCCCCAGAAAGTGTCATCTGACCTTTCAAGTAGAATTGACCATCCCTTCCTGTAATTGTCCCCAAGCCCTTCTCATTCAAGGTCAGCACACTGAGGGCTCCCCTTCACTGCCCGTTTGCACGTCTGCCTCTGCCACCCGCAGACTGCAGGGCTTTCAGGGGCAGGGCCTGAGTCCAGCCTTATCAGTCTTTTTTTTTTTTTTTGGATACCCACAGGTGTGATTTATTGGTCATCCTTAGTGTAACAACTTTTTATTTTATTTTAATTTTTAAATTTTTTTATTGTTAGTTTCAGGTGTACAGAACAATGCAATAGTTATCCTTTTCACCCCCGCAAAGTAACAACCCCCCTCCCCCCATCTACTGCCCTCCCACCCCCGATATCATGCTTATCTATTACAATTCCATTGACTCCATTCC